CATGCCACCACACCCAGCTAGTTTTTGCAGTTTTGTTGTGTCGAGGTCTCACTGCGTTGCCCAGGCTGGTCTTGAACTCCTGGCTTCAAGCAATCCTCCCACCTCAGCCTCTCAAAATGTTGAGATTATAGGCATGAACCACCACGCCTAGCGTCCTCCTGCTTCAAGGCTGAGTGATATTCCATTGTGAGGAGAGGCCTTGCTTCTGTTTGTTTTTTGAGATGTTGTCTATTCTGTCACCCAGGCTGGAGGGCAATGGCGTGATCTCGGCTCACTGCAACCTCCGCCTCCCAGGTTCAAGCCATTCCCCTGCCTCAGCCTCTCTAGTAGCTGGTAGCTGGGATTACAGGTGCCTGCCACCATGCCTGGCTAATTTTTCTATTTGTTTTACCTCCTCCTTGTATAAATTATTTATTTATTTTTAGTAGAAACAGGGTTTCACTATGTTGGCCAGCCCAGTCTGACTGCTGACCTCATGATCTGCCCACCTCACCCTCCCAAAATGCTGGAATTAGTCATGAACCACCGTGCCCCACCTGAGCCCCTACATCTTCATCCACGCCTCCCTGATGGACGGTGTTTCTGCATGGCCCTGTGGGACCGCTGTGGCCGGCTCTCAGCTACCAGAGGCCTCTGTTGGGAGGAGGCAGCTGGTGGGGAGTCCTAGCAGGGCTGTGATCCGAGGGGTAGGAGAGGGCAGGACGGAAGCTGACCTCCCCCCGGCTTCCTCCACCCCCTCAGCAGTCAGCAGGGCCTGTCAATCAGTGGGACCTGGTCAGCTGGCCACTGGGGGACCTCAGGCAGAGGGTTTGTCCTCTGGGCCTCCCTAGGACATTCACGGCACCAAGGAGTGCTCCTCAAGAAGGCGAGACACAGGTGCACTGAATCTAGCCCTGCTGCGCAAACCTCACCCTTTACACAAGACCTGAGGCCCACCGAGGGAGGGGCCGGCCCCCAGCCCCCACCTGCATCTGCATCCCCAGGACCACCCCAGGTGGAGGGAGCTGAGTGGGGCGTCCCGACAGATGCAGACGATCGCCTCGGGCCACGGGGGTGACTGACGAAGACCTGCACACACACGTGAGCGGGACAGCCAGGCCTGGCTGGAGAGAAACACACACCACACACGCGTCCACCCACATACACACACACGTGCAGGGCCAGGCCTGGCTGGAGAGAAACACACACCACACGCGCGTCCACCCACATACACATACACATGCAGGGCCAGGCCTGGCTGGAGAGAAACACACACCACACACGTGTCCACCCACATACACATATATGTGCAGGGCCAGGCCTGGCTGGAGAAAAACACACACCACACACACATCCACCCACATACACATGCAGGACCAGGCCTGGCTGGAGAGAACCACACACCACACACACATCCACCCACATACACATACATGTGCAGGGCCAGGCCTGGCTGGAGAAAAACACACACCACACACACATCCACCCACATACACATATATGTGCAGGGCCAGGCCTGGCTGGAGAGAAACACACACCACACACGCGTCCACCCACATACACATACACGTGCAGGGCGAGGCCTGGCTGGAGAGAAACACATACCACACACGCGTCCACCCACATACACGTACACGTGCAGGGCCAGGCCTGGCTGGAGAGAACCACACACCACACACACATCCACCCACATACGTGTGCAGGGCCAGGCCTGGCTGGAGAAAAACACATACCACACACACGTCCACCCACATACACGTGCAGGGCCAGGCCTGGCTGGAGAGAACCACACACCACACACACATCCACCCACATACACATATATGTGCAGGGCCAGGCCTGGCTGAAGAAAAACACACACCACACACACGTCCACCCACATACACATACATGTGCAGGGCCAGGCCTGGCTGGAGAAAAACACACACCACACACACGTCCACCCACATACACATACATGTGCAGGGCCAGGCCTGGCTGGAGAGAAACACACACCACACACATATCCACCCACATACACATACACGTGCAGGGCCAGGCCTAGCTAGGGAGAACCCCACACCACACACGTGTCCACCCACATACACATACACGTGCAGGGCCAGGCCTGGCTGGAGATAACACACACGTGTCCACCCACATACACATACACGTGCAGGGGCAGGCCTGGCTGGAGATAACACACGTGTCCACCCACATACACATACATGTGCAGGGCCAGGCCTGGCTGAAGATAACACACACGTGTCCACCCACATACACATACACGTGCAGGGCCAGGCCTGGCTGGAGACAACACACACATGTTCACCCACATACATGAGCACAGCCAGGCCTAGCTGGGAAGAACCACAGCACACACGTGTTCACCCACATACATGAGCATGGCCAGGCCTAGCTGGAAACACACCACACACGTGTTTACCCACACACTGATACACATCACACACATGCAGACAGTTCAGGGAGGGGAGGACACTGACTCCAGGCCCGGCTGAGCTGGGCAGCATCCTGTGGTGACGTGTGCAGCCACCCCACAATGTCACCAGTGCCAAATGCCCGCCGTGTGTGGAGCAGCTGGGGATACGGTGGGTGTCCGAGGGGCTCTCCGTCAGGACGCTTTTCTAGGCAAGAGGCGCATCTCAGCACAGCTGCCCTCCCCCACAGTATGAGGACAGTCACCACCAGTGGCCGGTGCCACCTCCACACGGCTGCCAAGGGGCATCGTGAGCACTCAGCGGATGCCCTTTCTGCGCAGACTACAGATGACCGTCTTGTTCACCTCAGGGCGACTCCGTGAGGTGGATACGAACACGCATTTGACGGGTGATGCGTCCGAGACCAAACAGGCCTGACCTGGGCCACGCTCCAGCCCTGCCCTGTTCTAGACCCAACCCAACCTCTCCAGTCCTGCCCTGGACACACATCTGGCTGAGACCCCAGACCCAAATGGGGCAGAGCCTGGCACCGAACAGCCACCAGGATGGGACCCCCGTGTGGGCGGAGGGTGGTCCTCAGTCCTCCAGAAGATGGGTCCCTGCAGGAGGGGGTCTCAGCGGCTCACACTTCAGACGCAGTCACTGCTGCTTGCTGTAGGGCGGCTGACATGGAGCCCTCTGTTCTCAGGCAAGTGCAGACAATGAAGGAACCCTGGAGGGACGCTGGCAGGCAGCAGGGTCCCTCCTGCGGGTCAGGGTGCAGGGACGGGGCTTTCTCTGCACGGCTCTCCCTTGGACTTGTCCTCTGGGATCGGCCGTTTGCAGAGATGTCCTATCAGACCACGGGGGCCACACAGGGACCCAGGTTTGTGAGGCCCAGCCCCCTGAAGAGCAAATGGGCTCAGTGGAGAAGCTGACTGCATCTGCCTTCCCTTCAGCCACACCAGGGCGAGTGTCCTGGCACCCAGGCCTCCGAAGGTATCCCCAGGCCTCAAGACCCTCCTGGAGGGGACGAGCTGGCTCCCTGCTGCCTGTCGGCACAGCTCCTGAATCCCAAGGAGTCAGCTCCCACATGGGAGCCTGGTCCTCCCACACCCTGGCTTGACTGGGCTGTCCCCAAGGCATGAGGGGGCTTCTGTGGAGCCTGGGGCAGCGGCTGCTCTCTGGGAGTCCCCAGGATGGGGTGTGGCTGGCCTGTCCCCAGCTCAGGACAGACCCCAGGCTGTCCAGCAGTTCCTGTGCTGGGACTCCGTGTGGTAGCCACCCAGGGTCCTGGATGTTGAGGGCCCACGCTGTCCTGAGTCAGCATGGAACAGGGGTGCTGAGCCCTGGACCCTCCACATCTGCCCTGGACACCACAGGACCACAGGACGGGCCCCGCCCTGCAACCCCAGTGGGACCCTGACACCAGGCCCTGTCCAGCCCCATAAAGACCAAGAGACAGGTCCAGAGAGACCCCCTGCATGGGTGCACCTGCATCCAACCCCCTCGGCCGGCTGTGACGGACACGCTGTGGAAGGGGCCAGGGCGGTACCCAGCAAGCTGCCCTACGGCCCCAGACAGCTCCCGGCCTTGGGAAGTCAGCGTTGATGAGGGAGCCGGTTACTTGGAGGCTGCCAGGGAGAAGGCTGAGTGTGGTGTTCCTGCAGCCCTGGCCAGCCAGCAGATGCCCTGCAGCCTCTCCCCAACCCTGTGGGATGGGGACCCCCAATAGGGCGGAAGTCCATCCCAAAGAGGCCTGGCCCAGCTTCAACTGGAGCCCTGGAAGGGCAGGGGCACTGCGAGCCCCCAGGAGCAGCCAGGATGACCGCGCTGGGGACGAAGCCCTCTGTGGCTGTGGCCAGACCGAGAACTTGGCCCAGGGCAGGCCCCTCGGAGCAGAGTGGGTGTCGGAGCCTGGGTGTGCCCAGCAAGGCAGAGCTAGTGAGGCTACCAGACTCCAAAAGCAACCAGCCATGAGGCAGAGCACGGCGGGGCAGGGTGTGGCAGACCAGCCGCCAGCCTCGTCTACTCCAGGAGACAGGCATGGCCAGGCTCCCACGCCCTGGTGGCCACCACCCAATCCCCGATGGGGCGGCGAGGCCTGAGGACAGGTGTCGGTGCTGGGGTCCTGCTTCCAAAGTCCACAGACTGTCCCAGGCGGGAGGGCCGAAAAATATGGGGCACATGAGGGTAAGAGATGGGGTCCCTACGTCCGCCATTCTCGGCAGGTGCATTTCATGGTTGGAAAAAGTCAGGAGACGGGATGCCTCTCACCGCCCAGAAGGCTTTCAGGCAGACAGCCGCCAGCACAGACCGCCCCCCCCCGCCCCCGCCCTCGCCCCCTGCAGGGCTAGGGCGCCCTCCTAGCTGCTAGCACAGAAAGTTCTCTGTCCTGACAATCTGCCTGCTTGTCCAGAGCTCCCTGCACACTCTGGGGCAGGTGGAGCCAAGGGCCACACAGCCCAGACCCCTGACCAGCCGCTCCCAACCTCCCACTTCCAAAGTCTGTGAAGGGCCCAAGGCTGGACAGGCCGGAGATTCCCACATACCACGTACCGCGCCACACGCATGCTGCGCCCCGCTCTCAGCCAAAAACCAGGGTCAAGACCATCCAATAATTTACTGTGTTCCCATCCGCACCCGACAAGGGCCCACAGAGGCCTGGGAAGGGAGCTAAGGGCTGGGGTTCCCGTGGCGTTTGGGACGCTCAAGACAATCTGCGCAAAGCGTCCCTTGGAGGGTCTGCGGTCACCTCGGCCCACGGTCCCTGGGTGGCGAGGCTCCCGCAGCCCTTCCTTCCGCCTCCTCCTTCTTCCGTCTGCACCTCCTCCCTGCATGCGGCGCCTCCACGTCCTGAAGCCTGTGCTGGGTGTGGCACAAGGATGCTGCTGACCACAGACCAGGAGACCAGCTGGGGTGGGGAGCAGGGCCACCCGGTGGGCGTGGCGGCTGTCCTGGAGCCACCTCACCTGTGTCAGGAGAGCACACACTTGCAGCTCATGCAGCCAGGACCGCTCTCGTCGGGAGGGTTCAGCTTCCGAAGCTTGTGCTGCCGAATCTCACGCACCAGCGTGTAAAAAGCATCCTCCACTCCCTGGGAAAAGAGGGATGGGATCAGGGGGGACCAGCCAGGGGCCCCCTGCCTGGGCGAGGGGGGCTCCCTGCTGTGGGATCAAGCCATGCCTGGCCCGATGCTCCCAACTTCCCCAGCCACGTCCCCAGGCCCACCACACAGACAGGAAGCTGGGCTCTGGTCATCTCGAAGACCCTAGGGGCACCCCCATCACTATAGAGCAGTACCCTCAAAGATCAGTGTGACCCAGGACCCTCCTGAACTCCAGGTCTGGCCAGGGTTTGACCGCCCTGCGCCCAGCTCTCATCTGAGCTACAGCCAGTGTCCCTGGCAGCCCCTAAGGGCTCAGAACCCACAGATGCCCGTGGGACACTACGGGGCAAAAGGGGCCGGGCCCCAGGGTCACCGCTCCGGCCTGGCTCAGGGCAGCTCTCTCCAAGGACCTCTGCCTCCCCAGAGCTGTGTCGACCCAGGACTGCAGGGCGTGAGCCCAGGCCCCGGCCCTCGCCTCCCTCACTGCCCTGCCGTCCCGGGAGACTTACAGCGCAAGGGGCCGCTGGGTCACATGGGTCCCGGGGGATCCCAGAGGGTCCCGGAGCTGGAGCCAGAACCAGAGCGGCTGCCCTGTGTCAAGGGAGAGGGGTCAGTGAGTGCTGCTCCCTGGCTAGGGCGGGGCGGGTGAGTCCCTGGCTAGCAGCAGGGTGGAGAGCTGGCTCACCTGCCGGGTTTTGGCCGAGGTCTCGATGTAGGGGATGCCGTAGCTTCGGGCAAGGTCCTGAGCCTGCCGAGACTCCACGGTGCGTGCAGCCAGGTCACACTTGTTCCCCACCAGCACCATGGGCACGTCGTCCGAGTCCTTCACCCGCTTAATCTGCTCCCTGAGAAACGAAAGGGGAGAGCTGGCGGGGGCTACAGGCACAGCTGCATCAAGGACAAGCACAGAGAGGACAGGAGGCCCCCGTCATCCGGCACAGCCCCCCAGGGCCGGCCTCGTGGTTCACCTGTACTGGTGGATGTCCTCGAAGGACTTGGTGTTGTTGATGGCGAAGACACACAGGAAGCCCTCCCCGGTGCGCATGTACTGGTCTCGCATGGCGCTGTACTCCTCCTGGCCGGCCGTATCCAGGATGTCCAGCAAGCACGTCTCCCCGTCAATGACCACCTGCTTCCGGTAGGAGTCCTGCAGGAGGGCACGGCTCAGGGACCCCTCAGGACCCTCCTCGGGGGGCTCACACTGCCAGCCCCTCCCTCGGACCTCGCATGCCCCTTCTCGGGCGTGCTGAGACAAGGGGATCCCCTCCTCTGGGGGAAGCAGGAGACAGGCCCACACCACCGTGCAGGGCCAGGGGCTGCAGCCACCCCATCCTGGCAGTGTTCTGGGCTCCCCCACAGCAGCTCTGGAAGCCTGGACAGCACCGCCAGGCTCACCTCTATTGTGGGGTCGTATTCGTCCACGAAGTGGTTCTGGATTAGCTGGATGGTCAGGGCACTCTTCCCCACGCCACCGGCACCCACCACCACGAGCTTATATTCCGTCATCGCTCCTCAGGGCCTGCGGCCCGGGGTACTGCAGGGTCTCCTGCCCCACCTGCCAAGGAGGGCCCTGCTCAGCCAGGTCCAGGCCCCTCAGGGCAGCTGCTGGCAGGGCCATCGGAAGGGCAAACCCACAGAGGGCCCTGGGCCCCAACACTGGGGCGGGAAGGGTGGCAGCAACAGCAGCGTGCCTACCTGTGCGGCTGCGCCCCGGCGGGTGGGGGGTGTCGCCTCGTCCCCACCTGCTCTTAATGACCCAGTGAGGCGAAAGGGAGCCGGCCCCCAAAGGCAGGGCTGACAGCTGAGCACTCTCAACCACACACCCAAATTAGAAGCTGCTGGGTCGGCAGAAAGGCTAACGGGAGGCGCCCGAGGGCTGAGGTTACCGTCCCCCGGAACAGGTCTGGCCACGGCGGAGCGCGCCACGGCGTGCCCGGGCAGGCCAATGCCAGCCCGCAGGCCCCGCGGCGCTGGTGCCTCGGACAAGCATTTGCTGAGCGCCTACTGCGTGCCAGGTGCGCTGTGGGGAGGGCAGACCCGGGCAGCGCCCCGCGCCCCCGGCGGGGATCCCGAGCATCCAGCAGAAGAAAACCGGAGAAGACGGACGGGCAGGGCTCCCGGGAACAGGCGACGAGGGGCGGCAAGGCCCTGGGGCCGAGGGCCCTGGCCTGGCCCACGACCTGCGATGCTGAATCGGGGTGCCCGGGCCGGCCAAGGCCGCCTCCGCCCTGACGCGCCGCGCTGCGAGCGCGCCCGGCCCGAGCTCCAGGGGCCGCCGGCTTGGGGACCGTGCCCAGCGCCAGGCCACGGGCGGGGCTCGGGCTCCCGCGGGCCCCGGGGAGGACGGGGTTCGAGCCCGCTCCCGCCCCGCCCCCGCAGCCCCCGACGCGGGCTCACCTGTGCCCGCGGCCCCGCCCGCCCCGGCCCCGCCCGCCCCGGCCCGCGCCCCCGGCCCGCGCCGCGCGTAGAGCCACCGCCTGGGGGCGGGGAGGACGCGCGGCCCGACCGACCCCCGCCCGCACTCACCGCTCACTGGCGCGACTGCCCCCGGAGCCGGAGCCGGGGCGGGGGCGGGGCGGGGCGGGGGCGGGGACGCGCGGCTCGCCCCGCGCATGGGCTCCGTCCGCGGCGGGTGCGGCTCGGGCTGCGGGCGCCGGGCGCGGGCGGCGAAGACTCTGCCGGGCCCGCGCACGCCCCGCCCCGCGCCCGTCCGTCAGCGCAATGCGGCCTACCATTGGCCGTGCTCCACCGGGCCCCGCCCCACTCCACCCCGGTTGGCTGAGCGGCCCGCCTGTCAGGAGCCGCGGCCGGGCGGGGCTTCCGGGAGCAACGCGGGAGGCGGAGCCGGGAGGGCCGAAGCCTCGCGGGGGTGTGGGTGGGACCCTCGCGCGGAGCCGTGCTCTGGGGTGCACGCGGAGGGCGAGGAGCCGGCGTCTGGGACCCCCGGACTCTCCCGGGAACAGGCGGGCGAGAGAGCCCGACTCCGCGACGCCCGTGGCTCCGAGCCCTTCCCTGCGCCGGCAGCGCAGCGCCGCCCACCGCGGAGGTCCCTGGGCTCCGGGCTGGGGAAAGGCCGGGGTCCACTCGGGACCAGGGCCGGCTGCTCGGAGCTGGGGACCCCCGGGTGGCCTCGCAACCGCGAGGACGGCGTCGCCACCGCCTTCCTCTAACTTGGGCCTGCTGGCGGGCGACCCCTGCCCGCCCAGTGCCCCCAAAACTTGAGGGTCGCAAATTGCCATCGGGGAGCGAAGGGCCCGGGGCTCACCCCAAGCAACGAAGCGCACATCCTAGGTCCTTTCAAACTCAAAAGGACGTGTTTTTAATGTTTTTAAAATTGCAAACGAATGAGAAATACATCGTCAATAAAAAACAAAAGGCGGGCTGGGCGCGGTGCTCACGCGGGTAACCGCAGCACCCGGGAGGCCGAGGTGGGCGGGTCACCTGAGGTCAGGGCTTCAAGACTGGCCGGGCCAATATGGTGAACACCCGTCTCTACTGAAAATACCAAAAATCGGCCGGGCGCGGAGGCGCGTGACTGGAGTCTCAGCTACTCGGGAGGCTGAGGCAGGAGAATGGCTTGGACCCCGGGGGCGGAGGTTGCGGTGAGCCGCGATCACGCCATTGCGCCCCAGACTGGGCCACAGAGCGAGACTCTGTCTCAAAAAAAAGGGGCGGGTGGTTTACGGTCCCGCAACCCTGCCGCTGCCCCGCCCAGCGCCCGCCCCGCCGCCACGCCCTCCCGCGCGGGTCGCTGCTGTCCCCGGGCTCCACCCACGTGGGGTCCCGCGCGGTCGCAGTCAGCACCCGGCTCGGGACACACGCGCGTGGACGCGGCCGAGAGGCGGCGCACTCCGGCGTCCGGTCGGCTTCCTGGTCCTCGGGGGCGCTCTACCCGGCGGTTCCCTTTGCGGTCGGCCTCACTTCCAAGCGAAGGTCAGGGCGGCAGGCCTCGGCCCTGGGAAAGGTGGGCGCGAGCCTCCTGCCGAGACCGCCCTGCCGGCCCCGCGTGGGAAGCGCCGGGATGGCGAGGAAACGCGACACGTGCACCGCGACGGCCCGGCTCGGAGCCGACGGGGTCTGGCCCCTGACGCGTCCGCGCCCACCCGCGTTGGTGGCGCGTCACCTCCCGCCGGGATCGCGCGCGGCTGCCGGGCGCCCACGCGCAAGCCATCCCGCGTGGCCCCGCCCTAGCAACCGTTGCTAAGGGGCGTGGCTCTACCCCACCGAACGCGAGGCTGCTGCTTATAAATATTTGCGTATTCAAATAAGGCCCCGCCCCCGTTGCCATGGCGCCGAGGCCGCAACCCCGCGGCCGGAGGAGCAGCCGGCAGTAGGAGGCGGCGGAGGGCGGCCAGGGCCGAGCCCCCAGGGCCGGACACCTGGGCCGGACACCTGGGCCGAGCCCTCAGGTGAGAGCCGAGCGCACCCTTGGGGTGGGAGCCGCAGGCCTCGCTCTACGCCCGGTGTTCGGGGGGAGCCCGCGCCGAGACCTGGGCGAGGGTGGAAGCGGCACAGCCGGCGGGGACGCAGTGATGGTCCCCATGTCAGATCTGGGCCTCTGGGGACCCTGGCCCCCACCGGCCCCTGGGCCTGCACTGAAGGGGCTCCCTGTCAGGGGACCGGAGGGGCCCCAAGCCCTGCCCTGAGGGAGACGCAGAGGCAAGGACTCAGGATGCTCCGGAGGCTCCAGGGTGGGGCTCAGGAGGGGGGCAGGCCCTAACCCTCACAGCCCCCATGGTGAAGGGGCCAGGGCTCCCGGGGACCCAGAGTTGATGAGCTACCCACCAGGGAATGGCAGTAGCTGGGGTCTGGAGCCTGGAGGCTCACAGAGAGGATTCAGGGTGGGCGCAGGGCCGTGAAGTGCATGGATGGTTCAGGCCTGGGCAAGAACTCCAGGAGCAGTGTCTGAGGTGGGAGTCCAGTGGGGCTTCGGACTCCACAGCCTCCAACTCCTGGTCCTTGCACCCCCAGGCGTTGGGGCTCAGACCAGCCTGATACTTGGGGCTCTCGGGCACAGAGGAAACGAGGGTGACTGACTCAGCCCCTGGTACCACCCGTGGGTGTCCAGGGGCTGCCTCACCCGGCCAGTTCTCGCCGTCCATGAGGCTGGAGGCCTGGATGGAGGTGGCAGGGTCCTGCTGAGGCCTCAGGCCTTGCCTGGCTGGAGACAGGCAGCCAGCAGGGGAGAGTGGCTGGAAACTCCATGAGACGCTACCGCAGGCTTCTTTCAGCCTTGCTGTAGGTCACCTTCCAGACCAGGCCACTGAGGCACGGGAGCCTGCGCTGCTGCCCCGTTCCAGCACTCCCCCCACCACCTCCGTCAACGGCCAGCCACGGCGGCTGGCACTGGGCAGCTCTAGACAGGATGGAGAGGATGCGTTTTCAACATCCGCACGAGGTCAACAGATAAAAGCCAGGGCGTTCTAAGTGGCTGTATGCGCATCCGCCTGTTCACGGCTTCCTTCTGCAAATATTTTAGCACCCTCTCCTGTGACTGTGGACAGCAAAGAAGCACCCAGCTCCGGGGCGAGGCAGGCCCTCAACCCAACACGTAGTAAGACACACGGGGTTCCGAAGGGGATCTGTCTTCTCAGGAGAATAAATCTGGGAAGGCGGGGGGGTACTACAGGAGGGAGGTCCAGCCTGAAGACAAAGCCGGTCAGGGAGGAGGACACCGGACACTTCAAGCGCACTTCTGGCTCCACCCTGGAGCTCACGATTCCAGGGTCTAGGGCCGAGGCAGACTTCTGCATCTTTAAGGGGCAACACCAGGCTCACCTGGTGCAGGTGGTCCAGGGACACACCGGGCAGACACCCTCAAAGGCCTGGGGAGGGGCTCTGGAAGAATGGGGTGCCACTGGTACCCCAGCACGCTCAGTACCCCACACACCCACACCAGCATTGCAGAGGAGGGAAGTGGGATTGGGATGAGCACCAGGCTCTGCGTTGGGGGATCCAGAGGAACCCAGCATCCGTCACACACCTGACTCTTCCTCCTCACCAGCGGGGCCGGGAGATGGTCAGGTCCTGGGCTGACCTGCCCACCTCTGGGTGCTGTGACCTCAGCCCAGCCTGTTCCAGGTTCCCTTGGGCACAGTGACCCGGCCAGGAAGCCACCCTGACTCGCAGGTACTGCCTGAGGCTCATGCCGCCTCCTTGCCCGGATGTTTGACCCACAGCAGAAGAAGGCAGCTGCCTGCAGGTGAAGGGGCTCAGAGGGCACAGGGTGGGTAGGGGAAGGCCTGGGACCTGATCCTGAACCCCAGGCTCAGAGACCATCAGGTGGAGAAAGACCCATAGCCCAGAGCTTGAGGCAGCCCTGGGAACCCCACAGCGGCAGGCAGCTGGCCTGGCACCCCCAAGCGCACAGCCCTTGTGGGCCTCAGATGGGGCGGCCTGGAGCCAGCACTGCCTGTGTGGACCCTGAGGATGGGCAGAAACATCGGGAGGGTGTCCTACGGAGCAGACGGGTGGAGCAAGGCTGGGGGAAGGGAGTGCGAGGCGCTCCAGGCTGAGTCTAAGCAGACAAGGGCCCCATGAGGCCCAGCCAAGTCAGGAGCCTTCTCTAGGCTCGGGGTGGAAGCAGGCACCAAGGGCTCGCTGTGTGTGGGGGGAGGGGGCTGAGGGCTGTGCCAGGGTCTCAGCCAGGCTACAGAGAAAGAGGAGCAAAAGCTTGGAGCTTTCGTTCTGCCTCTGCCAGCAGGTTTCACGTGAATGGACCCAGTCTGGGACAGATCCCGTGGGTCTCGGCCCAGCACCGCCAGCGTCCGGGTGCGGGAGCTGAGCTGGCAAGGCCTGCACAACCCCTGCCCACAGAGCAAGGGCCCTGGTGGCCAGCAGGGCAGCCGCAGAGAGCAGCGGGTGGAAGAGTACCTGTCCCCCGCCCGACTGGTGAGTGCAGGCACGGGGGCACTGGCCACAGAGGCCTGTGTGGGGTGCCATCCCAGGACCCCTTTCTGCTGATGTCCACTCTCGGTCCCCTCCTGCTGGTCTTCCCGCTGACAGTTGGCCTCAGCCCAGCCCCTGCAGCTGGGTCTGCTCCACCCACTCTGCCCTTGGGCCCCCAGCCAGGCCCCAGGTGCTTGGTGACACAGACATCCCCAGGCATTTGGTTGGGTCACAGACAGGAGGGAGCCAGGCCAGAACCCACAAGTAGAGGCTAAGCGTCCACTGCCCTCCAACCAAGAGGAGTCCTTCAGTGGAGCAGGGCTAGATGCCATCTGGACTCTGGGCTCCGGGCACAGTGTGTCGGCCCTGGGAGTCTCCTTGGAGATGCCAGCCCCACCCAGGGCAGGTCCTTCCCTGGCAATGGCCCCACCAGCCACATGCAGCCCAGGTTCTGCTCACCCCCATCCCACCAGCCAGGCCAAGGCCAACATGGCCAAGGCAGGGAAACATCCATGCCCACTCCAAAGGGAGCCCCACAGAGTCCTACCAGCCAGAAGCAGAGATGGAACTAGGGTGGGGAGAGCCGGGACCAGTGCTGACCGCTGGTTGGTTTCTACAGCAGGCCCTGGCCCTGGTGGATGACCTTCGGCTGGTGAGGGCGCTGGAGGTGTGTGTGGACACCCGCGAGGGCAGCCTGGGGAACTTTGGTGAGCCCCGTCACGCCCCAGCACAGCCAAAGCCACGGCCACGGCCACGGCCAGGCCTCCCGGTAAACAACATGCGTTTTATGGTTATGACCACAAAGCTGTCCACACCTCTCAGCTCAGGCGACACAGCAGCTTCCTTAGGGTTGGCCCCTCACCTGAGGTCTGTGTCAGGTACAGGCAGAGGGCAACACACTCAGTACCCCACATGACCACGCCAGTACCCCGAGCATGCTCAGTACCCAGCACACCCACACCAGTACCCCCAGCACGCTCAGTACCCTGCACGACCACGCCGGTACCCCCAGCACGCTCAGTGCCCAGCACACCCATGCCGGTACCCCCAGCACACTCAGTACCCTGCATGACCACGCCGGTACCCCCAGCACGCTCAGTACCCAGCACACCCATGCCGGTACCCCCAGCACGCTCAGTACCCTGCACGACCACGCCGGTACCCCCAGCACGCTCAGTACCCAGCACACCCACGCCGGTACCCCCAACACGCTCAGTACCCTGCACGACCACGCCGGTACCCCCAACACGCTCAGTACCCAGC